CACAAGAGCTGGGGTACAGGCCAGAGATGTCTGGGGGGTGAGAAGATTCACCAGAGACAAAGTGGGGAGCAGAACAGGCAGACTGACTGAAATACACTGCTAAGGGGAGCAGCAGGCGAGACAGGAGAGGTCTGGTGCACCATGTGGGTTGCTCCCTGGCCGGCCTGGGATCGAACTCTTGCTGCAGAGGCTGCTGATTGCTTCTTAGTGCGGTGCTTAACCCCTTGCGCCACCAGGGAGGTCCCCCTATCATTTTTTTTAAGATTTATTTTTACTTATTTTTGCAAATAAGAACTGGGGTATAGACCAGAGGTGCAGGGGGTAAGAGGATTCACCAGAGACAAGGGATCGAACTCAGGCTACAGCGGTGATAGCATGATAGCAATGAGACTTACCTCTGGGTCTCCAGAGAGACCCTCAAGGCTTCCCTATAACTAGAGGACAAATGGAAACCATCCTGGCTGACTAAAGACAAGGAGGAGAACAAACCAACCATGGGGTCCTTAACTACAAGAATGCTTGTGGACATAAGCACATTGCAGGCGATAACCAACAGTCAAGTCAGTTTGATATTGCTAAGGGCAGTGTCCTAACTTACCATCTGGAGAAGCTGTGTCCTAGTTATATACCCTTGTTCTTAAAGCTACCAATGACTTCTGGGAGTTCCATCTATTATCACCAAAATTTGCAATAAACTGGAGAATGAGACACAGAGTGCAGGCTTACCTGCTCTATTTATGATTATATCTCCCCCCTTATCACTATACCCACTGCTACTTCTCCTTACTCCAAAATGCAACCATTCATGTGAAATATATATATGCACATACATCTTTTATCTGAATATGTTTATACAATATGTTGATGTTTTATGAGTATATATTTCAAGGTATATAAATGGCATTACATCTTGTTGTTTCTGTGCCATATCTTATACTGTTTTAAAGATTTTTTTTTATTTATTAAAAACTTTCCTCTTTATTTATTTATTTTTTAAAGATTTATTTATTCATTTATACAAGCACTGGGTACAGGCAGAAGCGCGGGAGGGTGAGAGAATTCACCAGAGCCAGAGCGGGGAGCAGAACAGGCAGAGTGACGAACTACACTGTTGAGGGGAGCAGCGGGCGGCAGGAGAGGTCCATGCACCATGTGGGACCCTCGCCCGGTGGCTGGGGATGGAACGGCTGCGGGCAGCTTCCCAACCCAGCGCTCAACCACTGCGCCACCGGGGAGGCCCTGTTTTAAAGATTTTAATTCATGTTGCTTAGTGTTCTCTAAGTCCCTTGTTTTTTAACATTGCATAGTACCCCATTATGAACACCCAGATTGTCCTCAACTCTCAAACACATCACAGAATTAACTGTAATAATCATGTGGATGTGTGTGGGAAATTCCTGGGGATATACCCAGGAGTGGATATTGCTGAGACCGAGGGTGGATGGACACATAATTTAGCTAATCAGTGCCCACTTGATCTCTAGAATGAGAGCACCAGTCTAGGGGGCAGTTTTCAGGCATCGAAGCCAGAGTATGAACCAGGGCTGCCCGGCTTGTCAGCTGGGTGACTTGAGTATATTACATAACATCTCTTTTCATTCTCATTTGTAAAGTGTGAACAATTCCAGCAAATATCTCATAAAGTTACTATGAGACTAATGAGGCAAAAATAAATGAAACTAGTAATGTACTTTGCACAGTATTTGGTACTCAGTAAGTAAATATATAATCACTGATTATCATTTTTCCCCACCCAGGAAGAGGTTTCTGATTTCTCAGTAGACTCTGAAACTTCACACCGGCAGGTCTGTCGAGCTCATCTTCCTTCCACATGGAGCCTGAGCACGGAGATTTAGTCAAGTCATGCCCAGAAGGCCTCGTGCTATAAGAGGCAGAAAGTGAATGCAGCCACCTGCTGGTATCTGCTCACACCCCGCACTGTGTGGCACTTCTGTACTTATACTCGCTGTGTCATGAGCTTCTGGGATGCCACGCGATAGATTTACACTCACTTCCCTGCACACACTGTCTCAGAGTCACACTGAGCATAAAGGGGAGTGACTCACATGCCAGCCAATTCTCAAGTCCAGCAAAACCAACACTATTTCTTGATAACTGTAAGCAGCCATGGAAGGAGCAGTACTGAGCTAGAGCTTCCAGAAAGGACCAACCTTTCATAATGTTTGAAGTTGGCTAATGGCCTTTAGCTGCAGGACTTTCAAACACTGGTCTCAGCTTTGGGGCCAAGTCTATGATCTTACAAACAACCCCTGGGCCCACGACTGAGCTCAGCAGGAGTACAAGGACCTGGTCATTTCATCATCACCTGGACATTTCATCCTCTGATGGGCAACCTTTGCCCCAGAGCTCTTCATGGGTTGGCCAAGACTTTGTCAGATTTGCATCCTGGTCTGAAGATCTCCCTGTCCAATCCTGCTTCCTCACACTTTTTTTTTTATCTTTCATAGACATTATCCCTCAATAAACCTTTTGCACTTCTAACTCCATCTCGGAATCTGTTTCCAAAAGAACCCACTGACAGAGCAAAGAAAACATTACACATATTTACACAGTGGTCTTCATTACCATGTGAAACTGGTAATAAAGATGCATTTTGAAGATGCATTGCTGGACTCAACCTTGATGCATGAGCACATGGGATTTGAACTGTGCATTGAGACCAAAACTTGCTGAGAACTTTAAAATAATTGGTGAGTACAAGCCTACGCTATCTCTTTTGTGATATTGTCTTTAATGTGTCCTACCCAATCCGCCAACCTGGAAACCCAAAGGCACTCTCAGAGCTGGCGGCGCGCTGCAAGCTGGCGGAGAGCCAAAAAGGGAATCCCCCCAAAGCCCATGTGTCTGGTTTTATACCAAACCTGGCTGCTTAACCCCACCCTCAGGTTCCAGCAACCTTCCCTTTGGTGGTGATGGGATTTGTAGTTCCCAGTGTCTTTTGGCTTTGGTCTGGAGTGGGGGTGGAGTCCACAAAGCCTGTATGGAACTAGCTTTAGGACATCCTTTCCCCCTAACAATATGATCCACTGTTTGCTGAATATTAAACATTTATTCTACACAAACTAATTCTGCTTGGATGCATTCCCCCTGTTCTATCAATATGCCCTTAGGTTTTTTTAATATATGTATTAACTGGGAATGAAGATGAAACTGAAGGTGTGTCAGTGTGTGAATAGAACCTTCAGATTTTGTTAAAAATGCTAAAAATTATAATCTATTATTATAAACTATCATTTTTACAATTCTTAATTTATAAACGTAAATGGAAATCAGTTTAAAGCAACCAGAGGTGATTTTGCCTCCCAATGGACTTTTGGCAATATCTGGAAACATTTTTGTTTGTCTCAGGGGGTACTACCGGCATCTAGTGGAAGGAGAACCGGAATGTTGCTAAATATTCCTCAATGTACAAGAGAGTCCCCCAAACAAAGAATTATCTGGCCCAAAATATCAATAGTACTGATATTGATAAACCTTGGTTTGAAATAGAAAAGTGGGCATTGTCCTGATTGTTTTATTGAAAGCTAAAAGTAAAAGAAATAGTCTGCCCATAATCCCATAGTGATTATTTTTTCTTAATTGTACTAAACAGAATCTCCTCATTTTCTTAGATAAAGTCATCGAAAACAATGACTAAAATAAATAGCTAGCATGCATTTGTCCCTTTCAGATGGAAACTATGTTTCTAAGCTTATTATCCAAATATCTTAGGAGAGAGAAATGTTGGTATTTCTGAGATGGCAGAGTCCTATTAATGCCATGAAATGTAGCAACAAATTCTTGAGTTAGTTTTATTCATTCTTGTTCTTTTTGTTAACTTGGTGAAAATTTTCAGGTTTGAGCATACCCTACTTTTAAGCATCCATTGCTAATCTTCTTAGTCAATGTTTAGTACACCTATTGTTTGACTTTTTTAACAGAACAAATTTACATAAAATATCCTAGTCCTCTTTCTTTTCTATTAACATGGTTATGTGGTTAAAAAACAAATACACTTTCAGGACAACTGAAATTTAAAATGGCCATCTAAAAGCTAAGAACACGGCATTAAGTTTAGCTAGAAGTACATTAATCAACGCCTTCATTTTCTCAAGGTGAAAGAAATTAAAACAAAACAAAACTTGGGTTTCATTTGGCAGTCCTGGTGCGCCCCCTACCGAAAAAGCGGATTAACATAGATTCGGTTTAAATTCACAGGGCTCTTCAGCTGCATTAAACCCATCACTACATGCATCTCTTTCTAGCACATTTGAAAAGCTAAATGTCATCAGAACATTTTATTTGACTAAAAAAAAGTCCAGATGAATTGTAACTACACATGAGAGGTACTCCATTGTGAAAGATCTCCCAGAAAATCACTAAACGATATCAAAAATACAAAGGGACAACTATTATTCTTAACATTAACAACTGAGCTTGATTTAACATAATATTTTTTTCCACCTAGTCGTTTTGCTTTAATGATACATGGTTCTGTACCTGGCAGAGGCAACTAACCTTTCAGACCATGTTCACATCACCACCAATCCCGTAAGCTGAAGTTCTCAAAAGTGACAGTTAATTGTTGGCAGATAAACATAATTTGGATTGATTAAACGGGGACCAAAGAGTCTAAGCATAAGAAAAGTTCCCTCACCTCCCAGTCTTGTCCTCCTGATCCTGAACCTGTTGTTAATAAATATCCCCTTACTTTGCAGTTGCTAAGCTGCTGATCTGAACAGTGCCAGCCCAGGACATCACTCACCTAAAAATCAGATCTTTGCAGCCCAATTAGTGACTGTCAAACCCTGCTGGGGGTGTGTGCGTGTGCGTGCGTGTTTGTGAGGTTGCGTGTGTGTGTGTGTGAGTGTGTGTGTGAGCGTGAGAGAGAGAGAGAGAATGTATCAGCATGAGAGCCCGCGTGAGCCTCACTCTCCTCCCCAACGCAGAGTCCGAGCCCGCGGTCCGGGAAGCAGGTGCCGCGGGACGCAGGATCTTACCTGGGCTCCAGCGAGGAGGCAGCAGCCGAGCAGCAGCCACCCCCAGACCTGGAGCGGCGCCCCCAGCGCGACCATGCCCGGCGGACCAGCCTGAGTGAGAAGCAGGGACTTTTCCAGGAGCGCAGGAGAAGCTCCGGTCTCGCAACTTGGCCGGCGCGGCACAAACTTGTGCCCCGGAGCGCGGCGCAGGTGGGGTGGCCAGGCCTGGGGCCGCCGGGCGGGAGACTCAGAGCTGAGTCCTGCAGCGCCGCGACTCGCGGTCTGCTCCGGTGTCGCGTCCCGCCCTTGACTCACCGCCCCTTTCCGCGTGCGGCGGGGCGGGGCGGCCCCCGCGCCCCGCGATCTCCGCGCGCCCCACCTGGAGGCAGGAGCGACCGGTCTCCCGAGGCGCGCGCTGCCGTCCTCACCGGCGCTCGGCCCCGCGCCGAGGAATCCAGACGGCTACTGCCGGAGCCAGAGTCACATCGGCTCCGCGTCCCTGCACTGTGTCCTTGTTCCAACGTCCAGTCTTCACGCCCTGGTCCTTGGGGAGGGCCCCAAATTTCCCTCCTGCCCCGTCGTACCCGGTCACCAGCCACGGGAGGCAGTGGGCGGGGGTCAGTGTGGCCGGAGGCTTCCGAAGCCAGGCGCGTGCTGCACCTGTGGCTGCGCGAAAGTTCTGGTTTTCACCCAACCACTAGAAGAGGCAGGGATGTTTTCGACTCCAGGAGAATGCGCCGGTCAAATATTTTGGGTATCATTTTGTGGGGCCAGGCATTAAAGAAAGACAACTAATATTCTTTAACGCGTTTGTGTGTGTGTGTGTGTGTGTGTGTGTGTGTGTGTGTGTGTGTGTGTGTGTCTAGACACCTTCGTTTGGGGCGCAGTCGGCTCCTTTATTTTTCTTAGAAGCATCATCATCAGGATGCCAGAGGCCTTACTTTATAGATACTGAGTTCAAGAATATTCAGTCTCCTAGGGTGTAATACAGCTGGGGAGGAATTATGCCCACAGATGAAGCATGATAATTCCCTCATGTCTTGACCATAAGGGTCCTCTGACATTTGGCACAATTAGCTTTCATTTCAGTGCCAAAAGAAAACTGGATTTGCTTTTAAAATGTACACATTGTTGATGACTGGCCAGCTCTGTAACTACAGAAAGGGATGTCTTTTTATTTCTACATCTACATGTCTGAAAATGTTCATGCCTATCTCTATTTTAATAGCATTGTTTATATCATATATAGATTTTGTAAAGTTGCATGTGATTTTTAGAAGTAGCAAGATCTAAGTTATACAACATATGCAGAGGTGCGCTTCTGTGAAGTTACCAAGTAAATTCATTTTCTACTTATTCTATCAGAGATTTAAGATTTTGTGGGGTGTTGTTGCTATTTGTGCTCTTTTTCAAAATATAACTGTTTAGTCACTATTATCTAATATCTTCAATTAATTAAATTATTTAGATATTACTTCTTATATTACCTTACTCATACAAGAAAATAATAGTTAAGTAGTTAATAATAATGGTAATACTAATAGTAATAGCAATAATACTGATAAATAGTATTTATTAAGCAATTTATTACATTGTGGTTACCTTTCTAAGTACTGTACAAAAAAATTAATCCTTACTTTAACCCTGTGAGATAGACATCATTATTTTCTATATTCATACATCAGGAAATAAACACTTGTACATTTGGCCCAGGCCTAGACAATCAATTATTGAAGTACTGCTGGTTGATGATTTGTCCTCCTATTTGTGCAATAAGAGTATTATAATATTTTCATGCTCCTTAGGCCCCACAAACACCAGACTCACTTTTCTAGCCAGTTTTTCATTTCTTTGTTGCTTCTCCCAAAACTTGAGAAAAAATTGCTGTGCATCACAGCAATCATTCTGAACCGGGAGCAATTTTGTGCCCCACAGGACATCTGGCAGTATCTGCAGACATCTTGATTGTGTCACCTTCGTGCCTCAGATTCATGATAGTGACAGGCTAGCAGTGCTGCGAAGCCTCATCAAGTCACAGGACAGTTTCTCCCAACAGAGACATATCCGTCCCCAAAGGTCAACAGTAAGGAACCCTGCAGTAGAGCTAAAAGGATACTGTAATTGTTTGCTGCTTCTTAACTAGATATTCAACAAAATAAGAGATGCCCATATGCCAGAATTTTTGTAAAACTTACACGATTTTGTAGACTTAGACTGTTCAAGTCACATAAATAGGTGTAAATCTGCAGGCTCTAGATTTATATATTCAAAGACAGGAAGATATTCAACTATTGAAAATGAAAACTATTACAAATAACTGTAACTTGGGACACCTGCCATAAGATATACAATATATAATTGCTTATATTACAGGTAAACTTGGAATCATTATTTACTTAAAAAAAAAACCTTCGTGCAAAATTGATGGAATGACTTGCCCACCAAAGCTCTTTGCAAATGATATCTTGTCAGTCCTTAAAATCTATGAAAAGGGACTCCCTGGTGGCGCAAGTGATTAAGACGAAAACTATGAAGCCATCTGCAGCCACTGCAGCACGAGTTCGACCCCCAGCCAGAGAGCTACACACATGGTGCAGCAGACCTCTTCTGACTCACCCGCTGCTCTTCTCAGCAGTGTATTTCAGTCAATCTGCTTGTTCTGTTCCCCACTCTGGTGAATCCTCTCACCCCCACACACACACCTCTGGCCTGTACCCCAGTTCTTGTATGCATAAATAAATCTTTAAAAAAAATCTATGAAAGACAGGTGACAGTTCTGCTCAAATTTATTCACAAATGAACAGAAACTTGAAGAGAAAGGAATTCAAAACCAAATAAATGCTAGCCCCAAGGAAATTCAGTAGTTGTTTCTGGCAACATTTTGTTTGTGCTATTATTGTTCATCAGTCTTTTGTCTTTTATAGATCCACTATGTTACAGACTGTTCACCTGCATCAGAATTAGTCCATGCTTGTTAAAACTCACACTATTAGGCTTTGCCACCGACCTACTTAGTCCCATTCTCTAGGGAGTTCAGCAGTGCTCATCTTTAATAAGCTCCTGGGTAACGCTTATACAAGAAAAAGATTGAGTTTTAAACTTTTACCTGATCATACACATAGCTGGCGTGGGCTTCACAGGCCCTTGTAAGGTCTAATAGACCAATTTTTCTCTTCCTTGGAAAGTGCATTATCCTGTGGAACAAAGGGGCAGAGATGGCAGGACAACAGTCACCTCGTTTATAGGGAAGAGACATGGGAACTCGAATGAACACACCACTAGCCTGACTTCCTCACTCCTGCAAATAGCTCAATTTTATTACAACAGTTCTTCCCACTCTGAGTAGAGATATCATTCCTTTTTTTAATTGTGTGTTTCTTTCTTTGCATCTGTTGGGGAAGAATGCAGGATCTGAAGTTCCACTTTGCTCTGGCTCCCGACTCCTGGTTGAACTCTTGAACAGCCTTCTGTCTCTAGAGGCTAATTTGGAGGACTTTATTCTGGAAGCAAAGATTTTTGCACCAGCTGCTCTGAGTTTGAGCATAAAGCAGTTAAACTGCTAAAATCAATTAAATAATTTGATTAATTAATCATCGAGGTAATCTCGATGATTTTCTCTAAATCCATCCAAGCTTTTTGACCCCAAGCTTGGGGATGGTGGTTGCTGCGAATGCCTGTGTGTGTGTGTGTGTGTGTGTGTGTGTGTGTGTGTGTGCCTGTCAGTATGTGTGTCTGCGTGTTTGTTTAGTTGTATCTACTTTAACATTTCAGAAATATCTCAAAAATTTCAGTCGTTCAATCTCATTCTTTGATGTTTTCCAGTATGAGAGAGTTTGATTCTTTAAAGAAATGAAGTATACATTTTCTCTCACTTCGGTGGGATCAAAATGGGAGGGAGAGTCTGGTGATGGTTCAGGGGTGTCTTAGTGGTGATAATTTTATGGGGACAACACCTGAGAAGAGAAATCAAACATTGGAAAAAAATGAACAATGATGTAAAAATAAATAAATAAATAGATAGATAGATAGATAAAAGAATCTTATCCGTGTAGCAGAGATGACAGACCTCACTATTGTTTTAATTTTAATTTTTGGTTTATTAATAAGGGTGGCTATTTTGTGTCTTTATAGGCCAACTTTTTCACTTTTTAAATCTCCTCTTCTTGCCTTTTGAGGGAAGAAACGAAATGACACAGAGCCTAAAGCCAAACAGTAGGGGTTGACTTCTGATAGCCGCTTCCTAGCATGTAGCTCTGGGCAAGTTATGTGAGGACTTTTCTTTCTTACAATTTTCTCAACTTAAAAATGAAGAAAATAAGAGCGCTCCCTTTAAAAGTTGGTTGGTAAAGTTAAAAAAATCAGGCATAAAACATTAAGAACAATGTCTTATTGTTCCAGTAAAAATGCTCAGTGTTAGCTAGTATGATCTGTTTTGCTTATTATCATTAATGATGTAAGTCTGTGAACCTAGTCTTTGAGTGGGCAAAAGACAGTGGTGAGTTTGAATATTTCCTGTTTATGTAGAAAAGCACCACCTGTATTTATATTATTAAATTTTTCTCTGGTATAAATTCCAAAATAATTTTCCAACTTCATTTTTGGCCTAATTTGCACATTTAAATACTTTTAATGTTTAATCAATACAGGTGTTTTTTAAAACTTTTATATATGTAAATCTATCCATCTTTTCTTTTATAGTTTCTACTTCTCTTTTAGACCAAGAAAAAAAATGCATTCTAAAATTAGAATTTCTTTTCACCAGATCTTTTTCTAGTTCTTTTCATTTTATATTTAACATTTTAAAGTTTCAACTTTTTTTCAAATGGCCACTTAACAGTTCACCTATGTACCTAACCAGTTAATACACATCATTTATTAAAGAACCCAATTTTTTAAATAATGGGGCAGATATTTTGAAGGTAGGTAGAAGATGTAAGTTTGCAGCTGTTTTATTTTTTTTAAAGATTTATTTATTTATGGGGTACAAGCCAGAAGTGTGGGGGGTGAGAGGATTCACCAGAGACAGAGTGAGGAACAGAACAGGCAGACTGACTGAAATACACTGCTGAGGGGAGCAGCAGGAGAGTCAGAAGAGGTCTGCTACACCATGTGGGTCACCTCTCTGGCCAGGAATTGAACTCATACTGCAGTGGTTGAAGATAGCTTCATAGATTGCGTCTTAACCTCTTCACCACCAGGGAGGCCCCATGTTTTCAGATGTTTTAACAGAGC